ACAGCAAGATCAAAACGACACCTTCCAGAATATGGCATGTATCTTCCATCGCCCCTCTCTCCCACATTCAAGCACGGGCTGGACCACACAAAGGAGAGGGAGAATGCTCCATCAATTTCCGGTCCCAAGCACCAACACCACATGCTCCCTCCCCAGGCACTTCCCGCGGGGATGAGAAGCCAACCCCGAACGGCGCCAACCGGCTCAATGTCCGCCGCGACAGGCTCCCATATTCGAGACAGCGGCAGTTAGGTAGATATTTATCGGAAGCGTAGCGCTGCAGACGTACCAGATACGGGGCTGGTGGTGGTGGTGACGAGGATGGTGGCGGTCCAGGTGGTTGCGACGTGGATGGGTTTGGAGCCTGGGGGGAGGGAGGTTAGGTCGACGGGGCGGAATTGGGGGGTGAGGGAGGAGGAGGTGGTGGTGTTGCTGTTGTCGTCTGGGCTGGTGGCGGCGGTGGTGGTGACGGGCCCGCATGCGCCGGTGGTGTGGTCGCCGCTCCAGAGGAGGTCTCCTGATTCGAAGAGGAGGAGGGTGTGGTTTCCGCCTGCTGCTATGCTTTTGAGTTTTGGTGGGGGGCTGGCGGTGGTGATGGAAGACGGGAGGAGCACGGGTTGGGGGGCCGAGACGTCTTCTTTGTGGCCGATGCCCAGCTGGCCTGACCCGTTGGAGCCGAGGGCTTGGATGAGGATCATGGTTGACAGAAAATATTTTGAGATTTTCTAGTTCCAGAAAATGCCGAAGTGTGCTGAAGTGAAGGGAGTTGCCCGGACTTGGTTTGGTGATTACAAGCGATGCTCCATAAGTGCTAAGCACACTGTGCAGCCATCCACGCACTGTGGGTCCTGAGTGGGTCACCTTCTCGGACCCACCACGATTTTTTGGCTGCATAAATTCCACACGCGACTGTAAATTTTTCTTTCCAGCTTCTCCTGCACCTCACTCGCAACGCCCCGCGCAGCTCTCAACCTGGAATCGAAGGGAAGCTGTCGGCGCCACGGTTCGACGATGTGATCTGGGAACGAGGGACTTGCCTTGTATTAAGCAGTCTGTCAGTCAGTGGACGAGAACAAGATGGCATCTGCCATGGCAACCTTTCAGGGTGCCGAGGACTTTGTCATCGGCCTCATCGGTATGGGCGACATGGGCAAGATGTATGCCCGGCGGCTGAGCAGTGCCGGATGGAGGTAATTTGCCGGTTATTTCCTCTCTGCGCAGTTACTGCATCGTCGACGAGGCTTTGTCTTGCGGCGGGTGGGTGGCCGTTGCTAATCCCCAGCTCCCAGAGCTGTTGACTTTGGTGAGTCACTTCTTACTATCTCACCTTCAATACCTACCCCATCCCCCCATCGCATGATGACTTGAGCGCATTTGGCTAGAGTATCGCTCGTGGCATGGCCGGTCAGCCTTTCTGGCCCCGTTTCACCGCTGCGGGCTTTCCATGATGAAAAATCTCAGCTACCTTACTATTCTTTGTCTGATGATACACCTCCACACAATATTTCAGCATTAGTTCTGCTCGGGCACCCGCTGACTTTGATGACAGATTTGTTGATGATCACACAGAGTAGAGGCTGATGGTGGTGGACTTCAGGATCATGGCCTGCGACAGAGAGGAGAAATATGAGGAGCTGGCTGCCGAGTTTGCCGACCATGTATGACGTGCATCTAACCTGATCTCCGCTGCGAACCAGTGCTGAGATTTTGTCTATAGAAGAATATACAAATTCTCCGCAACGGTCACCTGGTGTCTCGCGCCAGCAACTACATTATTTACAGTGTTGAAGCGGCCGCCATTGGTCGTGTTGTCGCTCAGTACGGTCCATGTGTGTGCCATCCGTAATGCCGTTGTGTGTCTGGACATCATTCTCACGAAGTGTCACCTTGTAGCAACTCGACTTGGGGCTATCGTGGGCGGCCAAACGTCCTGCAAAGACCCCGAGATCAAGGCTTTCGAAGAGCACCTACCCAGCGACGTTGACATCGTCTCCTGCCACTCCCTCCACGGCCCCAGCGTCGACCCCCGCGACCAACCACTTGTCCTTATAAAGCACCGCGCCTCGGACGCCTCCTTCAACAAAGTCGAAACCGCCCTGCGGTGCCTCGGCTCCAAGCATGTCTACCTCACCGCACGCGAGCACGACCGCATCACGGCCGACACGCAGGCCGTCACGCACGCGGCCTTCCTCTCGATGGGCAAGGCCTGGCACGCCAACCAACAATTCCCCTGGGAGGGCACGCGCTACGTGGGGGGCATCGAGAACGTCAAGATCAACCTGATGCTGCGCATCTACGCGCAGAAGTGGCACGTCTACGCGGGGCTGGCCATCCTCAACCCGGAGGCGCACAAGCAAATCAACCAGTTCGCGCGGTCCACCACCGAGCTCTTCTACCTCATGCTCGAGGGCCGCCGCGACGAGCTGCGCGAGCGCGTCTACGCCGCCAAGGAGAAGGTCTTTGGCCGCGAGGGGAGCCCCAAGTGGGAGGGCCGGCCCCTGCTGCCCGACGGCGTCGTCGACCGCTTCAGCCTCAACGCCAACGCCAAGAGCAACGCCCCCGCCATGCCCAACAACCACCTCTCGCTGCTGGCCATGGTCGACTGCTGGAGCGCCCTGGGCATCGTCCCCTACGACCACATGATCTGCTCGACGCCGCTGTTCCGGCTGTGGCTGGGGGTTACGGAGCACTTGTTCCGCACGCCGGGCCTGCTGGACGAGAGTCTGCGCGTTGGTATCGAGGATAACACGTTCCGCCGCGATGATCTGCAGTTTACGATTGCCGCGTCCGGGTGGGCCGAGTGTGTGGCTCTGAGGCAGTTTGAGACGTGGAGGGAGCGGTTTGCCGTGACGCAGAAGTTCTTTGAACCAAGGTTTAAGGGGGCGGTGGAGGTGGGGCAGGCTATGATCAGGGCTGTATTGGAGAGCGAGAAGGAGTGAGTGTTCTCCTCGTAAGATAACTTATGGTTAGAGGTCATCAACGGGCTGGTAGTGGGAAGGGCATCCGTATTATTAGAAGAATTCGACATCGTCGATAGCACCATAGCACTTTGCAAATATACGAGTGCTAGACATTGCAATGTATTCTTACTGGCATCATTACTTCTCTCTTCTCGTAGGCATCGGGTATTAATACTCAAATAATACCGCTTAACTACCTCTTTACTTTTACTTTATAAATGCAAATTATCTTCCTATTTATATTCTTGTTTTAGTTATGTTCCTTTTTTAGGTCTTCTTCTCTGGGAGCTATCAATGTCAACAACATTACCAAGTCATATCGAATGAATAATCTGTTAAAAATAACAAGAAGCTCACCGGCCACCCCCCGTCGGGGATGGTCGGCTACGAAACCCCCCAAGGGGAGTTTGCTCCTCACTGGCTGGGGCCAGGCGTCCCGGGTCCCAGCTCAGAACGGCCCTTCCTCCGGCAGCAATCGAACTCATGACCTCCCGTCGGAGGTGGGTTGACTCGCTGCCCGGAGGTGAGGACCACCGTCAGTTGTTACCATTTGGCCAACTGACGAGTGGGCAGTGGTCCTCGTTGAAAATGGTGCCGCGGGATAATACATATAGCACGTGCACTTCGAGCGCACTTCCTCCGCAATTCCAAACACGATCACGCACGAATGGCTTTCATTAATCCCATCAACATCCATCCACGACCAGCCACGATCTGTTGTATGTACTATACTCGTCTATCTATCATCTTATACAGCCACCTCCTTCCTTGCCACCGCCAGCGCCTCACCAAAAGCCACCACAAAACGCACACAATCCTCAAAGCTATTATACAACGGCGCCGGCGCCACCCGAATTACATCGGGCTTCCGCTCGTCCACAATCACCGCCCTCTTCTCCAGTTCCCGCATCACCGCCTCCAACAACCCCCCACGCAGCATCAAACTCAGCTGCGCCCCCCTCTGCCCCGGATCCGACGGCGTAATCACCCGGAACAGGGCCCTCTCCTCTACCCCGACGATTGAGGAGCCCTCCCCAACGAGCAGCTCCTCCAAAAACGCCGTCAGCCGCAGCGACTTCCCCCTCAGCGCGCCCACCCCGCCCGCCTCAGCAAACACCTCCAACGACGCCGTCAAGCTGGTAATATCCAAAATGCTCGGATTGCTGAGCTGGAACCCCGCAGCGCCCGGCACCGGACGGAAGCGATTAACCATGGCAAACCGCGTGCGCTTGTCGTTGCCCCACCACCCGGCCAGGCGGTTCGCGTAGCCCTCGCGCTCCCACTCCCCCTCCTTCTGCTGCACCTCCAGCTCCCCCACGGGCGGCGGCACGGCGCTGTTCCGCTCGTGCACGAACAGCCCCCCGATGCAGCCCGGCCCGCCGTTCAGGTACTTGTAGCTGCACCAGGCGGCGGCGTCGACGCCCCAGTCGTGCAGGTGTAGGGGTGCGTTGCCGACGGCGTGGGCGAGGTCCCAGATGAGGAAGACGGAGTGGGTGCGGGCGTGGGCGGTGATGGTGGGGATGTCGAGGAGTTGGCCCGTGTAGTACTGGATCCCCGGGAGGAGGATCAGGGCGGTGGTGGCGGCGTGGGTGGTGATGGCGGAGAGGATCTCGGCGGTGGTAAGGATGTTGTCTTCCGGGGAGGAGGGCGAGGTGAGGGTGATCATGGAGGTGGCGGGGTCGAGGTTGTGGTGGCGGAGTTGGGTTTCGACGGCGAACTGTGGGGTGGGTTAGGATGGGTTGTGGTCTTTTGTTGGGGATGTGAGATGTGTGTGAGTTGACTTACGTGGTCGCTGGGGAAGGCCTTGCTCTCGAGTATGATCTTGTGTTTGCCGTTGATGTCCGGCTTGTAAAAGGCAGACATGAGGAGGTGGAGGTTGGCCGTCAGCGTCTGCATGACAGCCACCTCGGCCTTGGAGGCACCCACGATCGGGGCGATGAGTTGGGCGGCTCTGTCATCGGCGTCGAGCCAGGTCGGGAGCGGTGATTCCTCGAGGGGTTTGAAGTGCCCTTGAACTCCCTGGGTACCCCAGGTGGATAGATATTGGTTGACGCGGGTCTGAGTCCGCTTAGGTTGGAGTCCCAGGGAGTTTCCGCAGAGGTAGACGCACTTCTCAGTGGCGCCATCACCAGATCCAGTTTCAGTGGTAGCTGCGCTCACGGGACCATGCCATTAGTTTTCTGAACCCAGAACTACGGGGCTGCCCAGAACTCGGAGTTATCCCACCTGAGTCGGCCAAGCGGGTACTCGCGATCTGAGTCTTGGTTGGGATATTGAACTCGTTGCGTGTAAATGCAAGCGGGTCATCCCGGTCCAACACCTGAGCTTTGGCCTGGGCGTCCGCAATGGCGGAAGAACCGATGTTGTGAGAACTCATCTTGATTTGCTGGAAGCTGTTGTGAAGATTATTCGTGTTACACGTTGACCGCGGGGTAAGTGAGACAGTAGGAAAAAAAATGTGACCGGAGAACTATTATTACCAGGGAAGCAAGGCGTTTCAATGGTATCTAACTCCGATGTTTATGCCGCTTTTTTCGAGTTTCAAGATTAACCAACAGGTCAAGTCGGTGGTTAGGTAGGTAAGCTTTGCCTGCGGCTCAGCAACCCAAAGTGAATGCCCGTATGTACCAAATCTCTTAAAACGTCCCATACTTTTTGCCGAAGCTCTGAGGACGGCGGGGTTGTCTCGATTGCGGCGATTAACTCTTACCCCACCAGCCCTCCCCCACCAACAATAGCACCATCGGCTTTGCCGCCTCGAGGCCGCCTTGCGCCGCTTGCCAAGAGCGGGATGCGGCAAGCAGCGGAAGACCCACAAGGAAGCACTGTGGAATCTTCGATGGCTCTCGCCACGCTTACCTCGCCTTCCACCAGCCACTCTGAGTCCTTTGGTCACGTTGCTACCTAGGTCCTCTATCTCCGAGGCATCGCATCGTCGTGAAGTTACGAAGCCCCGAAGCAAAGGGGACTGGATCGGTGATTTGAGGATTTCTGACATGCCGACTTCTTCAAAGAAATGACGCCCCGCCACACGCAAAATTCGCTATCCGACCTAGCCGCGCTTCCATCACTTTGCCCATGACCGCCTTTGCACGAACCCCAGATCTACGTGCCGAGAACCCCTCGGTGACCTTCCAGGGTCGTTGTGCGAAACAGATAAAAATCTGGGGTTGACTTGCATTAGCCTTGGAATATCTTAGGTAATTCTGACCAGCCAACGTCTCCTTCAGACTCCTCCCTGGCATCGTGAACATTCTACGCAGGGAAGTTGAATTTACAGATGTGGATGTCACGGCGCACAGGTGCATTTTGTCGGTCAACGATTTCGGTCCTGATCGAGAAAAAGGGGTCCTTGGTTTTACCAAACACAGCGTATGTAGGGAGAGATATCTTAGTCGAGGGTGCCTTGAATAACAATGGGAAGAGGCCAAGGCATCATGCCCTGGGTTCCCCGGAAATACAAGGGCAGGGACGGTCAGGGAATTGGAATCAGTTCAGACGGGAGTATCCCTTGCGGGTTAGACTCGTCCGGAGTTTAGTATTAGGACAAAATATATTCGTATGAAGTACATACCGCAGAGTCATGTCTCTTTCGTCTTTGCTTTGTTTTTATTTTTGGGACTTAATCGACAGGACGGCTGCCCCAAGCTCGGGTAAGGAACCGAATCATGGCAACGCAGTCCCAAACGTGGAGCATTCGGAGACGGTCTGGATTTTCTTGGCAGGGATGAACACTTGCAGCGGCGCCGTTGAGCGCCAATACCAATCTCTCCGTGACCCCGTGACCAGGTCAGAGAATGCTTCAGTCCGGCGCTGCGAGTTTGGCTGCCGGCACGAGGACAGCAGAGGTTTTTCTCCGGACTTGACTTGTTTCACCGCATCTCAGCCGGACCCTCGTTCCCGGAACCCGATCTGTCTCCTGCGAGCGAGGATGTCGCGGCACCCCGGTCGGCATAGCAGCGGTCAATTTCTAGGGGGTCAACTACCAGGTAGCTCGCCGAGGTGTGTTTGGTATGCAGGTATGGAGCTGGACTTTGTGACGTAGTGACGCCCACCCAGTGCGTGCGCATTCCTTTGGTTTTCCACTGTGAGGGCATTCGCTCCACCGTCCGTTCCTGTCCCTGAACCCCTCACGCCTCAACCCGCAACTCCGTGTTTTTTTTCCACCGCTTCCGGGCCTCGAGCGAACCACTTGCTAAATTCATTGAGGCGGCCCGGTCCCGTGCGACGCCAGGAACAAGTCGGCGGATATGAATCGCAGCAAATGGGATTTCCATTACCCCCATTTTACTTGATGAGAGACGCACTGTCTGGGGTTGGCGTTCCGGGGCCAGTGGAAAATGGCGGGGCACCTGATCAGCCACAGAGAGGATTGGGTCCTGGAGCGCCTGGGCCTGGCCGATTTTACGTGTTCTCCAGTCACGGGACCCGCCGACACATGCTGAGACTTCCATCCTGGTTGGCGCGTTGCCCGGGCTGAGTTTCTTGAGAAGGAGCTCCCTGACTCGATGGTCAAAGCTGCCGGTGAGAACAGACCGGCCGTCCATGATGCCACCGCGATTGGATTAGGATATCCCCCTGTTTGTAAGACGAAGAAGCGGTAAGAGGCATTGATGGGTTGCACGGCGCGACGCCTGTGGTCTCGTAACCCTGTCGACCTGTCATGCTGGGCAACCATGGCTAACGAATGGGTTGGTAACAAAATAAAGTGCGTCCGCATGGAGATCAGGGCGTTCGAGGTTAACCGTTTTTAGTAACTCTCAGTCTTCGCCCTAGCCAGCCATGTCGCCTTTGGAGCTCGAAATCTCGACCCAAAAAGCACAGTCGCGGTCACGGGATGTACACAGACAGACAAACAGGCAGATCGGCTCTGGGGCTTCGTAGTGTACATTACACAGTCAAGACAGTCCAGGAGCTTCAGACAGCGGCTCGCTGCCCCGGGAATGGCCCCGGTGGTGTGATTCCCAGACCAAGTAACGCCAAAGTTGGGTGGGTAACACGCCGGAACTCTTACGCGTCTCCAAATATTTGACATTTTTTTCTCGTCCCTAAGAGGACCGTGTGTTGGGCGATTCCATAGCAGCCCAATTGGGGGGCATGGTGCGAGGAGTGCAGCTTCGACGTTCAATGGTTCTGGGCTCGCACCCCAATGTTGCTGGTCTCAGTTGCCCCGAACTTCGAGAAGCTCAACGGCCTCCTTTCCTGTCATCCGAAGCAGACAAACAATTCCCTCAAAAAAGGATGCCTTGTACCGTTGAAACTTTCAACTTTCCATGGCATACGAGAAAAGAGACCCACCTGCTCTCCAGTTTCTACCCCAGAACCTCGAATAGCCGCTCCCGGGGCCACCGACCGATCGTGGGTGGCAGTGGCCAAGCGGTACGTACCTTACCGACCGACGCCGAGTCTTTTCTTGGGCCGTTCAGGTACCGACCCCTTGTGACCCAATCAGCAGAGACTGGCAGTTGCCCGATCTGGCTTAGTTCCCTAGCTTCCGTTTGTCACAGCGCCGCCGAATGTCATCACAACACCTGTTTCTGCAGGCAACTCCTTCCTTTTGGGAATTGCCATGCCTGTGGAGTCGACATGTATTGTACAGTGCCAATCCACGAGAGCGTGTTGTTCCTGCCGTCGTCCAAGATGCCAGAAAAGATGACGGCCCTTTTCCCCCAGCATATAAAGCAGTGGCGTGCCCATCCCCAGACTGTGTTTGGCAGTCCCAACCCATTTGTCAATCCCAATGATTCAAGACGATATCAGTCTGTGATTGATTCGACTCAGCATCACCACCACCACGACTGAGTCAACCTTTCTCTACATACCTTAATTCCAGACGACCCTTATCAGTGTCGGCAGCCAAACACCGCAGCTGACCTTATCTTCCGTGGAACATTACGCCGTCGCAACAAAAAGGTACTAAGCTTACACACCCCTTTCCCGGTTCCTGTGCGCTGGGCCCTGTTCGGTGACATCGAGATCGTGGTTGTGTCTTAGGACCTGCCGTGTCCCGCCAGTCTCGTGCATCGGCCCTTCGCAGTATCAACCCTGCCCTTTTTCCTTTGGCCCCTGATTTCCTCCTGATATCGGCTCCCGTGTGGTGAACATCAGCCAGCTGTTTCAAGGTGGCGCGGGCTGCGCGGTTTCGCCACAATGAGCCGCTGCATCTGTTCCGCGTCGCTATTGGAGCTATTGGAGATGGTTACAAGTCCAGAATTGTGGCTTTCAGTTTGTCATGGCCAAGACCAAAATCGACTGCTCAATTGGCTTGCAATGGAGGGCATCGACCCTTCTTTTCACTTGGCCATCTTGGCCCATGCTTTACAGAAACGGCAGACTAATGAGACATTGAATTCCAGGTCCTCTAATCTGTAATTGCACACAGATTTGCCTCGAGCTTGGTTTTCGAACAAAATCACAAACTCCGAGGTTCTAGAACGCTGTTTCCGGCCCCGCCATAAAAACAGCGCTTTGTTTGCTTGGATCGGCCCTGTTGCTCATCCCGTCTTTGGTTGAGGTAACGAAACACTCCTTCCTACCTTATCGCGTTACGCACCCTCCCGACAGGGCCGCATCCAACGGCCCTTCCGTGCCTGTTTCATTCCGTCAGAGGCTGATTCCTTTTGCGATAACAGCTGCCAAAGTTGATACCAGCAACTCCAAGTCCAAGTCGACTTCCCGCAAATCGGTCCTGCGAACCAAGTTCAGGGACAGGATTTGTCTTCGAGCTCATTCTCGAGTTGAGAGAAGGTACGTTTAACCATTGGGTGCTCATCAATTTGATGTTTCTTTTTGTATTTCCTGAAATGGAAGGGCATGTCGCAACACCAGGCGTGTTATCTTTCTTATCTTGGGAGAGCACAGCCGAGGCCCCGAAACGAGCACGAACAGAGAGATACCAGGAGCGGTGAGCAGCAGAGCCGAAACCTACCCACCAGTCTCGGACGTGACCAATACTCGACTTCTCCGAACCGGTGTGCCTAATCGGCGGGCAATTTGGCGGACGGGTGTCAACGCCATGTCTTTGCGTCACTCTTCATTCCTGCCCTGTACCACGCTGGTCGTGGTGTTCCTGGGCCATCCGATTCCGGAAACTGGCGGTTGATTGCACTGATAGGGGCGGCAGGGGCCAGGGCAAGTCGTCGCTGACGTTCTTGTCCTTCCCGTATGTCAAACCCGCTCACCGCGATCAGCCACCAGGGCCTCGATAACGGCCAACCGCCTGCCTGCTCCACGGCCGCCACAGCATCAAATGGCTCGCGCTCACTTACACCGACATAATGCTCCCGCGCCTGCTCTCTCGGCCTACAAAGCCAGTCCCTGCTCCTGGCGGCCCCTCCAGCCCACTTCCTCCTCAACACCTAGCTCAAGCACACCTTAGTCAGGAGTGCCTCCCGTCACCCTTACACCCCTTATACCTACTTTCACTTCACAGTTACTATGGGTGACCTAGCATTTTACCCGCCGCCTGCCAACACTATTGGCGCTGGCCGCCGCGTGTCTGGCCTGACCATCATGACTGACTTGCCCGTGTCTAGCTTCCCAGAGTACGTGGATCCGTTTACCTCATCAGACGACACCATGACAAATTCGCCTGCAATCATGAACGCCGCACATCGCCTCGTGGATAAGGTTAAGGGGGAGGAGGCCGAGAGGCATCCCTCACCTCAGCCGACCCACGTCAGCTACCCTCTGTCCAAGGTCAACGGCAATGGGCACAGGGTCCTGCGTTCGGCCACGGTCGGCTATGTCGCTCCTGAATTCACGGGCAAGAAGGAGCAAATGGGCCAAGGTTAGTAGTCTAGCGCTTTCTGCGCTCCTCTCTCCATTCACTCGCTAACGCGCCGAATAGCCAAGGAGTTCATCAAGAAGGGTGGCTGGATCCCCGATGCGCTGGTTGACGCGCAGGTGGAATGGTTCTACAATGAGCTAGGCATCGACGATGTTTACTTCCAGGCCGAGAACCCCGAAGTCATCGCCAACCACATCACGTCGCTCTATGCCGCCAAGGTCGCCGCATTTGCACGTGAGGACAAGCGGGAAGAGATCCGCCTGGACATGGAAGCCTCGGACCACGCCATCTATATTGACACCAGTGAGCCCGGCAAGTCCACAGTCAATGGGCCTCAGTATGAGCATCGCCTCGAGTCCAAGTACTTGGACGGTGGTGACACATCGAAACGTTTCCGTGTCGAGACCTTCAGGTCCCCCAGCAGCATGGGGCATTCCAACTTCAAGGCGACTCTTCGTTGCTACTTCGTCTACCAGTGCCAGTTTGTTGAGCCTAACGCCGATCCTAAGGAGACCCGGCTCGAGGTCATCAGCGACCGCATGTTCCTTGCCAAGGCGACCAAGAACACCAAGCAGATCTACCAGGAGATCATCGAGACCTCTGTGAGCCGGACCGGTCCGGTTATCGAGGTCTTCGACATCGAAGGTCAACAGGAAAAGCGCTTGGTCGTGGCATTCCGCTCGAGGACGGCAAGAGGGTTGTTCAGCGCCCTTAGCGACCTCTACCACTACTATGGAGTTACCAGCTCCCGGAAATACGTCGAGCAGTTCTCAAATGGCATCACCGTCATGAGCATCTACTTGCGCCCCGCACCGAACGTCGACTCCAAGTATCCGCCAATCGAGGAGTCGATTCACCAGATTACTCAGGAGGTATCGCTTCTGTACTGCATGCCGCAGACCAAGATGCACTCCCTGTTCGCTTCCGGCGAGCTCAGCCTGCAAGAGACCTCTTACGCGCACTGCGTGTGGGTGTTCGTGCAGCACTTCCTGAACCGCCTGGGTTCCGAGTACGCTTCGCTTGTCGCAACCCTCGACCCCAACAACAACAACCATGCCGAGATCCTGTCGAGGATGAAGAAGCGCCTGCGCACCGAGACGTTTACTCCCGACTACATTCTCGAGATTATCCTCTCTCACCCCCAGCTCATCCGTGCTCTATACGCCTCGTTCGCCAGCGTCCACATGAAGGTCGGGGCCGGCTTCGATGTCCGCAGCATCGCTCCCACCCCCACCACTGAGGTCCTTTCGGATGCCAAGCTTAAGGACAAGATCACCAAGGATGTCACCAACGAGCACGAGGAGATGGTCATGACTGCCTTCCGCGTCTTCAACAAAGCCGTCCTCAAGACCAACTACTTCACCCCAACCAAGGTTGCCTTGAGCTTCCGACTCGACCCCTCTTTCCTCCCCGCGATTGAGTACCCGTCGCCGCTCTACGGCATGTTCCTCGTCATCACATCCGAGTCTCGCGGTTTCCATCTGCGCTTTAAGGATGTTGCACGGGGCGGTATCCGCATCGTCAAATCGCGCAGCAAGGAGGCCTACTCGATTAATGCCCGCAATCTGTTCGACGAGAACTACGCTCTGGCCAGCACGCAGCAGCGCAAGAACAAGGACATCCCCGAGGGTGGCTCCAAGGGTGTCATCTTGCTTGACCCCAAGCAGCAGGACAAGGCCCGCGAGGCGTTTGAGAAGTACATCGACAGTATTCTCGACCTCCTGCTCAAGGCTGAAACGCCTGGCATCAAGAACCCCATCGTTGATCTGTACGGGAAGGAGGAGATCGTCTTTATGGGCCCGGATGAGAACACGGCCGACCTTGTCGACTGGGCGACCGAGCACGCCCGCAACCGCGGTGCCCCCTGGTGGAAGTCGTTCTTCACGGGCAAGTCGCCAAAGCTGGGCGGCATTCCTCACGACTCATACGGCATGACGACCTTGTCAGTGCGGGAGTACGTCAAGGGTATCTACCGCAAGCTCAACCTGGACCCCTCGACCGTCAGGAAGATGCAGACAGGTGGCCCCGACGGCGATCTGGGCAGCAACGAAATTCTTCTCAGCAACGAGAAGTACACAGCCATCGTCGATGGCTCGGGTGTATTGGTTGACCCCAACGGCATCGACAAGGAGGAGCTGCACCGCCTTGCCAAGAAGCGACAGATGATTTCGAACTTTGACTTGTCCAAGCTGACCAAGGACGGCTACCGGGTGCTGTGCGAAGACACGAACATTACCCTGCCGACCGGAGAAGTTGTCAACAACGGCACGGCGTTCCGGAACACATACCACCTTCGGGACAGCAAGCATGACCGACATATTCGTCCCCTGCGGCGGTCGG